GATGCGCTTGACAGACAAGAAAAGGGCAGAGATCGGGCCAGCGACAGATCGCCACGTCTTGGGCTGCAGCTTACCCTCGAACACTGACGACCAGCACCTCCGGAGCTCCTTATGAGACATACCCCCCAAGTATTGATGATACTGGGCCGCCCATAACTCCTTTCCCCACCGAACGATAGGTGCGACCATCCCGTAGTAAGTGGGGTCGTCCTCACAGACCAAAGCAGAGGAGAGGCTGCGGCCGCCACAAGACGGCCTAAGACACTTGCCTGCTTGGCGGCGGATGTGGGCAAGCTCGGTGTCGCTGACCCCGTGGATCTCGCAGCCGAAATTGATCCCCGCCAATGCCCCACTGGTGAAAATCTTTTTAGCGGAACGGCCCAGGACCTGACGTTGTTTGTTGATCCTGCTGACACGCTTGTCGAAGGTGGAGCGGCGCTGCTTCGCTTTCCTACAACGGCCCTTGACCCTCCTAGGCAGCCCAGCGGTATCGTCAGTCCCCAGGTTGACAGCCGAAGAGGTCCCCCCAGGGCCGGCCCAGACACCCAAGAAGGCCAGAAGTTTTTCCCCCAGACGCCGCTGACTGCATACGAGGCTCGCCTTGTCAGGAGCGACCTGGCACTTGATATCGGCCTCCACAGCCTTGAACAAGCCCACTGCCCCGACGGTGATGGCCGAATAAACTTCTTGAAAGCTACCCTGAGCAGACAGACCCAGGTCATCAATGAAAAGATCCAGGCTGGACGACGGATGCAGCTGGACATTCACAAAAGGCTTTCATGTAATAGACCCTGACAAAACTAGTAGCAATGCTGCATGCCGCAATGACGCCACGGATCGCCATGAACGGCCCCTGGATGAACCCACTGATGTTTATGTACCTGGGGGCCCGATAGGCCGTAATACAAAGCCTGGAAACCACCTGCGGGAAACCCGACTCGTCACATCTTGTCGCGAGGTCCTCTAGGTCCATGGTTTCATAGAACTTGTACATGTCCCAGAGGAGGGACGCCGAGCACTTGCCTAGCTGGACAGCCGCTTCACTCGTGGCAGTCTGCCGCCAGACGACATCCGAGGCCGACTTGAAACCATAGGCAGCAAACATCGCATGCTGGTTAGCATCCTCCCACATCAACGCCTCCCTCCTCCTGCACTTCCCCCAGAGTCTGTAGGGCGAGGTGAAGATGCCTATGGGGCGGAGGCCGCCCAGCGGCTTGGCCAGCATAGCCAGCATGACCAAACGCAACTGCTCAGGCAAGACGGCCATCGTCTCCATGATGGCGAAAAGCAGCGAGACAACTTGCAGAGCTTTGTCGCACAGCAGCGCGTAATGCCGAAGGTGAAAGCCATCAACAGACACAGCTGACCGCTTGGCGTACCCCCTGCTCTTCTCCCTCAAGCAATCAGGTGAAACCAGTGGGAGATGTTCCAAGGGTTGAAAAGGCTTGGGATCCATCAAATCGAACAATTCGGTTTCGGCCAGCCATAGCTTCTGGAAGCGTTCCCCTTCAGCGCGCAGAAGGGAACGAGGATCAGAAACCACCTGGCCCGCCGCGCTGAGGGTCGTGGAGGGAACCCAAGCTTCTACAGGACGCGTCCAGGCATGGGCGTTGCGGCCACCACCCTGGTCAATATCCCTTAGAAGCCACTCCTTCCACGACCGCTCTCCAGCAGCTCGAGCCGCCTTGGCGGTCGAGTCCAGCAAGTCGGCTAACTCGATGGACACGCTACCTATGGCCTCCAAGGTGACCTCGTCCTGCCCAATGAAACCCAAAACTCTACGATGAGCCTCAAAGATAGCGCCAGACCCCATATGCTTCTGAATGAACGGCGAGGGGGACTCCAGAACCTTCTTGGCACTCTCGATAGGGATCCCGCCCGAACAGTTACCCTGCAAGGTCCTCCAAGAAGTGGTCCAATCCCTGAAACTCTGCGAGAGCCATCTACACACAAATAGTTCAGGATGCCGAGCGGGACGCTGGTCACGCCCCAAGACTGGAACCCACCAGACCTTGGGGATCTCACCTCGACACCCAGTTTTAGGGAGCTTAACCTGGAGTTGATCGGCAAGCTCAGCTTCGGCAAGGTTGGCCCATCGCTTATACAAGTCGGTGAGCCCATAGTGAGCGTCCAGAGACCCCCGACGGGCACAGTCAAGTACTTCATTAGCTAAAGCCAGCGTGGCATCCCAGTCCTGAGGAGCAGGTCCAGGCCCGACAGGAACTTCAACCGGCAAAGGAGGAGGCTTTCTGAACTGTAAGACTCGCAGATCGGCTAACCTGGCATGGAAATCGACCCCCGCAGGCGAGTGAGGGGACGTCGGAGCATACCTGTCGACCCACGTATCCTTAACACCTTTCGATAAGCCCCCAGAGACCACGAAAAAATCATAGACCTTCCCACCAGCTGAGCTAAGACAAGTGGACACACCGGCCGTGATCACCTGGCCCTCTAATCGCTGAACGAAGTTGGAGTCGTCTAGCAACTGAGGCTCCATATTGAAATCGCCCCCAATCACAAAACTGTTGAGACTGCTACTGGCAATCGTACCGATCCTCGAAAGCAGGGCCAAGTTCCTGTCGGACAAGCCCTCGCAGCAAGACAAGTAGCAGGAGATGCACAGGATGGGAGGAAGGTCCCCAACATGAACAACCCCAGCAACGGCACGATAGTCTTCCACCACATAACCCCCTGGGGGCCAATGGAGGCCCAAACCTGACCGAGCAAGAATAGCCACCCCTCCTGAAGTGCCTAAGTCTGACGAAGCCTTAGCACTCCCGAAGATCGATTTCCAACCGTGATTAAGGGCCCAGCGCTGAGCGTCTGGGATCTGGTGCACGAGCAAGTGGTGCTCCTGGAGCAACACCACGTGCGCCGCCGTCTGCAAGAGCCAATCCTTAGCAGAACTCCAGGCCGTGCAATTGCATGTGACTATCTTCAGGTTTATGGCATCCCCCCCAGGGGCTGGGGGGGCCTTAAAAACTTCAAAACTTTCAGGCAGAGAAACCGAGCCTGAGGGAAGAGGAGCCTGCGGGCCGACAGGGGAAAACGCAAGATTGGGCTGAACACCAGCTCGCTTTTTGCAAAAGTCCCCCTGTTTACAGACGCCTCGGGCACTGTTGGCGGAACACAACAGCGAAGCTATATATTTATCAAGAGAACGAATGGACTGAGCAAGGCGATCCTCAAGCTCAGCTCGATTAAAGACTACACAGTATGGAGGTTGGGAAGAGATGAAGTGATGGGCCCCCCTGCCCGCGCTCACAGCGGAGTCACGCGGGAGGGGGCGAATGGCACTTTGCGGGGCCCAGGGCTGCTTCAGCACGTGCACGAACGTCAGGAGGTGACTCCCCAGCTTCACCAGGCTGCTTGGCCGCCTCGCCATCAGGCGGGCCCGCCGCAGTGCTGGCAGCGGCGCGGCCGTCGGGGCCCGACCCAGCGCCGTTCGCCACAGCCGCCTGGCCTGGCCCTGCACCGCCACCAGAGACGGCCGCGCCGTCCTCGCCCTTCCTCTTCTTACCAAGACGCTGAACATGCTTTGCTTGCTCATCACGAGCAGACTGAGCCTTCTCCAGCGCCCCCTTGAAGAGGGAGTTGCACGCCTCGCGGAACTGCTCGTTGAGCGCTGCACGCCGAGCTGCCATCTGCTCCTTGTCCTCGTCGGAGACCTCGTACTCGCCCTCGTCGAAGAGGAAGATCGAGTCCAACGAGACCATATCCAGCACGTTGCACGAGCCCTGCATGAGCTCAGACACATCCACCTTGGTACGCTCGAGAGGTTCAGCGGGGGTGGGATCGACCACGTTCCCAGCCAGCTCGCGGACCAGGTCCTTGTAGTTGTCGTCAGCAGCCTGCAAGGACTGCTGAGCCGCCGCCGTCGAAGCCTTCTGCTCCTCCACCTGCTTCTCCAGCTTGGTGAGCTTATCGAGCTCCGTGGACAGCTTCCGCTCCCAGTACTGCACACTGCTGTGGGCCTTGGCTGCACGCTGCTGGACGGGGGCAGGAGTGGAGGTGCGGAGCAGCTTGTCGAGCGCCGTCTTGTGACGGGTGGCCGCCTCGCCGTCGCCAGACTTCTCGCACAAGCCGATGAGCGTCCGCAGCTCGGTCTCGGACAGCTGGGCCGAGGGAGAGCCAGCTGGATGCCCGCCAGCACCGCCAGGGCCCCCAAGAGCAGGAACAGGCGCAGGCTTGAGGGCAGGCCAGTGGGTGCCCGACCTCGGCCAGCCCTGCCCGACGAGGCTGGGGGGTCCTGCACGCATCTCACCGCAGTGCTTGCAAGCGATCCAGCCCTCGAGGTTCTTCTTGCATCCGCGTGCCTCGCAACGCCAGCGGCGGCCCGACCACGACCCCGAGTCCTGACGGGGGGGTGACCAGCTCCATTGGCCACCGCAGTCGGGCTGGGCGTCCCACTGGCCCGACGGAGGCCCAGCCCTGGCCGCCGACCCTGCGCGCCAGGGTGCCTGGGTCGGCCACGCCCCACCACCATTGCTGCGAAGCTGCCAAGCATTCTTGGCCATGCGAGAGAGATTCCGAAGCCAAAAAACTGGCTCGCACACACAATGCTGTCCTGAAGTTGGTGTGTGCAATGCCCAAAAGCTCGGGCACAGGACAGCTAGGAGGAGGAGGAGGAGGAGGAGGAGGAGGAGGAGGGGGAGGGCGGGCAGGAGAGGCGGCCAGGAGTTGTGCAAGCTCAGCCTCCCCCGCGGGCGCAAAGCCCGGCGAACCCTGTTTGCCCCCCCCCCCCCCCCCAATTCCACACCCCAATTTTGCGCGTCCTCCTGCTCCTCTTCCTCCTCCTCCTCCTCCTCCTCCTCCTCCTCCTCTTCCTCCTCTTCCTCCTCCTCCTCCTCTTCCTCCTCCTCCTCCGCCTCCTCCTCCGCCTCCTCCCCCTCCTCCTGATCCTCCTCCGCCTCCTCCTCGTCCTCACCCTTCCCCTCCTTCCCTCAATTCTGCATGCTGGCGCAACTCGAGTCACAACGCAAGGTCGGTTGGAGCCCGGTATGGGTGCCAGCAAGGACGCAGCAGCTAGTATCGATGGTGGAGGCCAGACGGAGCTGGAGGGCCTGGGCAGTGAGGCGCTGGAGGCGCGCACGGGGCAGCTCAAGGCGCAGCTCAGCGGCGTGACGGCGCTGGAGGGCAAGCTCAAGACCACCCGAGGAGCTGGGCATCCCGGTCGCGTCTCGCGAGCGCGAACTCGAGGCCAGGCTCCAGGCCCGCGCAGCGCTGGAGGACCAGCCCACGTAGCCTGCCAACGGCCAGGTGCGGCCTCCATGGCACAGCAGCGCGACGGTGATCCGGAGGTGGCCGGCACGGTAGGCGCCATCGAGTGCCGCCTGACAGAGTTCGACTGCAAAATGCGCGAACTCCAAGAGACGGAGGAGGTGATGACAAAGCGCGAAACCATGCGCTGCAACCTCGGCTGCAAGAGAGTCGACGATGCCAGCGATGTGGCCCAATCGCAGCTCCTCCAGTAGATCCACCGTGTCGAGGTCCTCGTGCCGGAGACGGTCCAGCAGGCCATCATAGCATAATGAGCCAATGCAAGGGCTACGCAATGTCATCCAACTAAACAGTGACTTCAAGCTGAACGGGATGTTCATCTGAGCCCTCCGGGGCTTGCAATGTACCCGTCGGCGGGAGCTGGACGGACGCGCTGCCGCTCGTTGGCTCTCCTCCTCGCCTCCCCTTCTCCCCGGCATCCATCCTCGTCCTCCCCTCCCCTCCTGCTGCCCCCATCCCCTTCCACAAACCCTCAATCTGAATACGACTCTCCTCTCTTACCTTTTCATGCGCAACGGTGTCGCCGCCTCTCGCGCGTGTAGTTCCAATACGCACGCATAGGATCTCATCATTTGGTGATGCATCCTGTTTGGTCGATCGGAACATTACCGGTCATTCAGAGATGGTGTTCCCGCTGCAGCGATGGCAACACTTCAGGATCGGCGACTTGCTCCCGCTCGGAATGGTGGTCTCGACCTTGCGCGGGCGACAATTTTGAATCCGATTCCTTCCTCGTCGTTGCCACCCCCCTCCTTTCTCCTCCTCCGCCTTTCCCTGACCCTTCTGCCCCAGTGTCTCATGGGGGCGTTCTGAGAAGGACGAGGACGACGAGGGCGCTGACGAGGAGGAGCAGGCGGAGGAGGGGGAGGAGAAGGCGATGAAGAGGGACGAGACGAAATGGACGGGGGGCGGGGGAGCGCTCTTCCCGGGCAGGAGGAGAGCATGCACGGTCGGACGCACCCGAAGGCTCGGAGAGAGCAGGGACGTCGGCACGGGGCGAGAGGCGGAGAGCACAAGAGAGGCGAGATGGCGCGCGTGCCTCCCCCGCTGGTCTCGTTATTCCCCCATCTGGCTTCGGTGGGATGCCGGCCTTGGCTCCTTGAGCAGAAAGGCAAAGGGTCGAAGCCGCGGGAACTGCGCGAGCTGGCTGCACCTCGCCGCTCGCCCTCCTCGGGACCGAGCCAAGCACGACTGCTGGCATGAGGCCCGGTGCGAAGAAGGCGCCGTCGCCGAAGCGAGCCACAGGTTTCGAAGACACTCGATAGGGGTGGTCGTAGTAATTACGCAGCGGGCAGCGTAGCTATATGAGATGGCCGTGGCAATACGAGACGCGAGGGAATGACAAGAATAACCAGAACTGCGTCGGTAGCACGGCACAAAGAGCAGCATTCCATGCGTGATCATATTTCTCCGCTGGCCGTGATATTCATCAGAAACGATCGAACAAACTCAATTTGCTCACCCGGGCCGCCAACGCCCACCTTAGCGAACCAATCCAATCTGCACATTGGTGAAGAAACAAGGCGACCGGCCAACTGGTTCCCAGCATGTGTCTGGCCGCGGAACTGCAAGAACATGACAATCCAATGGAGGTATCCGAACGCACGGAACACGTATCTACAAATATATACTCATACAAACGCATACATCCGTGATTCTGTATGGCCAAACTCTGGGGCCAACATCTCTGCGATCTACAATCACATGCTGAGCACACCGAGCACGTTCAAAACAGGATAACGACAACGATCCCCAAGGGTAGTAGTGCGGGCATGCATACAAATCCAAATGCTACACGCTGGTGTGCTGCAACGTCGTGGTCACATGTCCGTTCCCGTACGCATAATGCTGACTCGTTTGCACACCCATTTGTGCACGATGCGTGCGGCAATAAGTAATATTTGCCAGGGTCTCGCACGTCCAGGCCAATCGCGACTGTCCCGATTAGCACCCAATTTCGAAATCGAATTGTATGGGGCACGTGTTGTGTCAAGAAAGGCCCGTGCATCGCAAAACGTGCCGAAGGGTTTAGCAAGCTGGTAGCTCAGCCAAAATACAGGCGACTGCTGCCAGCGCGCAGATCGGCGTCGTTTCCTGGAAGGCACACGCGCATCAGATTGGGCATGTGGATGTTACTTGAATGGGCAGACAGCAGCGAGCCTATTTGCACATACGTCGCACACACAAATCAAGCTGGGCGGGTTTCCACGACGAATCGTCCACATGAGAAGTCGTAGCTACACGTAAGAATTCGATGAAGCTTGTTAACCAGCACCCCCTAACGCAATAGACGGTTCTCTCGGGGAGATAGGGAAGCCGACTGATGATTCGCCACGGTCCTCTCACTTTCCGCTGAAGGAGTAAGATGCGCTGACCCCAGCTTCTGAGGAGCGCGAACGTATTTGTAGAGCGAGACGATCAGATGCAAGCGTGCGCGCAGTTTTCACATGCCTTCCACTTACAAAGCAGGTCATGAGTTCTCTGGAGACACGCATGAGCGCAGTCGGGTAGCATTGCGCAAGTTCCTTGTGCGGTCGTGGTCATTTCCTTTCCTTCTGTACACACGCATCGGTACGCGCTCAAGCGCACATGCTGCTTATAGATGTGCGCACGAACGTGCGCGAGCTTTTACAAGGTGACAGAGTCAACAAAAAGGTGAAGTGGTGAGTGATCCACCGCCACCATAATCTGCCGCCACTGACACCGCCGCCATCTCTCCCTGTATCATCCTCCTCCTCATTCTCCTTCATTATCCTCCCTCCATCGCCCTCCTGCTTTATACTATTCCATCCTCCTGCTGCCCCGTCCTGCTCCCACCTCCTCCTTCCGCCTCATCCTCCTCCTCCTCCTCCTCATCATCATCACCATCAGCAACAGCAGCAGCAGCAGCATCATCAACATCATCTTGAAATAATCGCAACGTTGCAAGACAACAGAACAACAGCTGAAGCTCTCAACCCAATAATCCGGCTGGCTTTCAGTGCCACATTGACTCGAGAACCCATGGGCCCGAAGCGCTCGTCCTGATTTCCCCACGGCGCCCTGATGTCAGGGCCCCTCTCCTCCTCTGCGGCTTGGGGCCCGTGCCACGCTCGCGTGTCGCTGGCGGACGGTTTGGCCAGCGGACCCACTCGCCAGCGGACCGACCGTTTCGCCCAGACCGTTTCGCTGGCGGACCGCCTCGCCGGCTGGCGGTCCCTTCCGGGGGGCGTCGTTGCTGTTGGAGGAATCTGCCTGCTCTCCGTCGTCCCGCTTGCCGCTTTGTTTCTGCTCCTCGTCATCTTCCTCGTCGACCTCCAAGTCGTGCCTTTCCTGTTCGTTTCCGTCGTCGTCGAGCTGCTCGCAGTCGTCCTGCCTGGCACCATCGTCCTCGCAATATTGTTGGTCCAAATCTTTGTCGTCATGGTCGTCGTCGTGGCAGTCAACCGGCTTTGCAGCCTCTGGCAAAGCAGCGGGGGTCCAGGGCGCGCGGATCACGACGAGAAGGAGCGGAAGGAGCAGCACAGGGTAGCTTCGAGCGCAGTTAAGTCGAGGGTGCCGAGATGGCATCGGACATGCGATTGTCTCGAAAACTGCTTGGGGCACTCATATCTCCTCCTCCTCCTTCTCCTCCTCCCCCTCCTCCTCCCTCTCTCCTCCTCCTCCTCCTCCTCCTCCTCCCTCCTCCTCCTCTCCTCCTCCTCCTCCTCCTCCTCCTCCTCCTCTTCCTCCTCCTCCTCCTCCTCCTCCTCCTCCTCCTCCTCCTCCTCCTCCTCCTCCTCCTCCTCCTCCTCCTCCCCTCCTCCTCCTCCTCCTCTCCTCCTCCTCCTCCTCCTCCTCCTCCTCCTCCTCCTCCTCCTCCTCCCCCTCCTCCTCCTCTCCTCCTCCTCCTCCTCCTCCTCCTCCTCTCCTCCTCCTCCTCCTCCTCCTCCTCTCCTCCTCCTCCTCCTCCTCCTCCTCCTCCTCCTCCTCCTCCTCCTCCTCCTCCTCCTCCTCTCCTCCTCCTCCTCCTCCTCCTCCTCCTCCTCCTCCTCCTCCTCCTCCTCCTCCTCCTCCTCCTCCTCCTCCTCCCTCCTCCTCCTCCTCCTCCTCCTCCTCCTCCTCCTCCTCCTCCTCCCTCCTCCTCCTCCTCCTCCTCCTCCTCCTCCTCCTCCTCCTCCTCCTCCTCCTCCTCCTCCTCCTCCTCCTCCTCCTCCTCCTCCTCCTCCTCCTCCTCCTCCTCCTCCTCCTCCTCCTCCTCCTCCTCCTCCTCCTCCTCCTCCTCCTCTCCTCCTGGTCCTCCTCCTGGTCCTCCTCCTCCTCCTCCTCCTCCTCCTCCTCCTCCTCCTCCTCCTCCTCCTCCTCCCCCCTGATGAGCGGAGGAGCAGGAGGAAGAAGACGACGGAGGACGGGCGATGGGCAGGCGGCGAGAGGAGGAGGAAGAGGTGGAGCAGAATATGGCGACAGTGGGGAAGAGCAGAAGCAGGGGGCCGGCACGAGATGGCCAGAGGCGGGCTAGTGTCGGGGGCGCGCAAACATGGATTAGCGATCCATGGATTTGGCGAGCGGTCGCCAAATCCATGGATCGGGGGAGGTGGCATCCCCAAAATGCGGCCGGTGCCGACCACCACGACGACGACGACGACGACGACGACGACGACGACGACGACGTCGTCGCAGATCTGCGCCGGCGCCCGTCCACCCGTTTTGGGCACGACGACGACGGCACGACGATTGGGCTAGTGGGCAGCGGGCGGGCGGACGCCATCGGGCGGGCGGGCGGGCGGCGGGCGGGCACAACCCTGGCGGGCGGGCGGGACCACAGGGCTGGCGGGACGACGCGCAGGCGAAGGCGAAGGCCCTGGCCTAAGTGGCTGGAGCACGGGGGCTCGGCTTCGAGCCCTGGGGGGAGACGAGAAGGGGCGGGCCTTCTCAGAAGGCTCGGAAGTCCTCTGGCCTCCTGAGAAGTGCTCTGAGCTTTCCCCGAATGGTAGAGGAAACTCCGCAGAAGTCGCACGGGCTTCTAAGAAGTCCCGCCGCCTTCTGAGAAGGCCTTCTCCTTCTCACTTCTCCCCCTCGCCCGCCCACGAGCGGACAAAAAGTCAAACCGGGCGGGTTGTCACGCAAGCAAGCGGACGGACCCTAACGCCGCTAGGGTCCGTTATAACGCCGCTGACCCTATGCGCCCGTTGCACGGGCGGGCAGGCGGACCCTGTCGGGCGGGAGGGGCGGACGGACGAGCGAAAGCGAGTGACAGGCGGGCACGTGGAGCCGAGGTCGTACGTTAGCGGAGTGGTCTTGGGGAAACGGTCTGGACAAGAAGCGATCCAAGCGAAGCGGCCTAACTGAAACAGCCCGGGCACGGGCGGAATGGTCCGGGTGAAATAGCTCGCGGGCGACATCGTGCTGGCGGAACAGACACAGCGAAGCAATTATAATGCTATCCTGGTCCTCCTCCGCCCTCCCCTTTCTCTCGGACTCGTCTGGTCACCTTCCGTGACAGACCATGATTGCTAACGTCAGGAATTCTGAACTAGGATATTCGGCCATGTTCAAGCCGACCCATGCTTGGAGAGCACGCCAGACCTCCCCCATAATGTTCATGTTCCCTCTCCTCCTCAGCCTCCCACCCGTTCGCCGCCACCGTCAAGAACGACCACCACGACGACTGCGACCAGGACGCGCGCGACTACTCGGCGGCGCGCACAATGAGGTGGGGGGAGGGAGAAAGCTTCCAAGAAGAAGGCTGTTTCTTACAAAGCGCCGGCCCTACATCTATAGATAAGGCCCGCGCGTTCAAAGGAGCAGGCGTGCTTCTTAGAAGCCCTCCGCCCTGCCCCCACCATCTCTGCGCGTGACTGAACTACGACGACATCGACGACAACAGCTTAGGGCCCCGCCAAGTTCGTCAGGTGGGCCGCAAAGTCGCCTGGGCGCCAGCGGGAGCGCCCCGGGCGGACGGCGGACTGCAGGACGCCGTGCGGCAAGGCCGCGAAAGCGCCCATGCCGTGCCTTTTGGAGACGACCGCGCTGACGACGGCGACGACGACGAGGGCGGCGACGACGACCACGATCTGGCCCGAACCCCGCGCGCGCAAGGGTCGTGCCGGGGAGGAAGAGGGGGGAGGGAGGCGGGACAGGAAGGGGAGTTCCCTGCTCCGGCTCCATCCCCGCCTCCTCCTCCTCCTCCTCCTCCTCCTCCTCCTCCTCCTCCTCCTCCTCTGGGTCTTCAAGAGTGGCCCCGTCGCCACGGCTCGCACGCGGCTCGGAAGCCGGTCTTGGGCGGCGCGGGCTAGGTCGGCGAGCGGAGGGCGGCGGGAGGAGGGCGGCACACTGTCTCGTACCGTCTTGTCTGCCACAGGGGGTGCACATTCGTTGGGGGGGGCTACGGGTTCCACATGTGTTGTCTCAATGTTCCCTGACCCCCACCAAAAACTGGAAATGGAGGGCAAATTGAAGCCTTCGGGTTGGGTTGGGGTGGTTTGGTGGGTGGTGAGCAGCACCTTCCAAGTGTTAGACGGATGAGGATTGTACCGTCCTGTTTGCCACAGGGGGTGCACATTCGTTGGGGGGCTAGTGAGCGTTTTTTTTGTTTATCTGGCGTTCCGACATTGGGCGGAAGGGGGGGGATGAAAGCGGGGGGTCTGGCTCTGGACCTCTGCTCAGTGCGACTGCTTGCAGCAGTGCGTCCATCATGGGGGAGGCTCCACCTGCTCGAAAAAGGCGCCAAAAAACAACAAAGATCCACTCCAGGAGGTGGGGGAGTGGGGTGCGAGGGCCCGCGCGGATCGGCAAAACAATAATAAAAAACGCGATCACCTACGGGTTCCAGATGTGTCTTTCTCAATGTTCCCTGACCCCCCCCCAACTGGAAATGAAGGACAAATTGAAGCCTTCGGGTTGGGTTGGGGTGGTTTGGTGGGTGGTGAGTAACACCTTCCAAGTGTTAGACGGATGAGGGTCATTTCCAAAGTATGGCTCCCGCCTGAGCGCCGTGCATTCTTTGTCCTGAACTGTTCCAGCTGTCACAGTGATGGGGGACATATGCGTTTAGAAAACAGGGCTCTCGCCTACAACTTCCCTAACCAATCTTACAACACGTGTAAACTTAGGTCGGGCGTGTCCTCCTACAGGCGGATTTCGGACGAGAGCTAGGACATGCAAAAACATATCAAAAAATACTCAAAACGAATCGCAAAGTCGTCACCATGCTATGTTTGGACTATTTTGAATAGAGGGACATGCCCGACTTACGTGTAAACTTGTGCAGCAGCTTAGCGGATGGAGGGCGGCTCCTTTCAAACACGGGGCTGCCGCTGGGCGCTTGCGTCAACTTTAGAGCCCGACCTCATCGCATTCCTCAAGGCTCAAAGACTGGAGGGCGGTTTCTTTCCAAACGGAGCTCCCGCCTGAATCGCGGGCCTCTGTGGGGTGCCCTACGTATGCAGGGCTGAGGGACGAAATGAAGAAGAGGTAGAGGCAGAAAAGAGAAGATTGGAAGGGAGGAGGAAAGAGGAACAAGAAAGGAAACACATTTCCCACATGCGCACCGTCATGAAGTGGCTATGTACATCCGTCAGGCATGCGCGCGGTGCCCGTCTTTCAAAGGAGGCACTGCCAGCCGTGAGATAAGATGAGTTCCGGGTCTGATGAGGAGGGGACTTGGGACGGGAGGGATGTTGAAGCATCGTTTATCTGGTCCTCTTCCTCCTCCTCCTCCTCCTCCTCCTCCTCCTCCTCCCCTTCCTCCTCCCCTCCTCCTCCTCCTCCTGCTCCTCCTCCTCCTCCTCCTCCTCCTCCTCCTCCTCCTCATCGGTGATGCATCTTGGGATTTCTTCTGGCTGGTCCTCCCAATCATCCTCTTCGTCCTCTCCCCCTGTCCGCCGCACCGCCGCGCCGGCCCAACTCTTGGCGGCATTCGCCTCGGCAGGCCTACGGACACCAGAGGGAGAGGGGGCGGGTGGGGGGGCACTGCGAGGGTCTCCACCGCCTCGGGACCTGCTTTCAAGAGGCTCCTGCGGGCCTAAAAGCCCGAGTGCGAAAAGAGAGAGAGAGAGAGAGAGAGAGCGAGAGGCAGAGAGGCCCTCCCCTGGATTTACTCTGGCTGGTCCTTCTAAATCTCTCCTCTCTCTCTCTCTCTCGCAGCCGCATCGGCGGTGCCCCCGTCCGCGCCCGCGCGCAGCCGCGCCCGCCCACCCGCGGGCTCGTGGCGCGCGGGCACGGGGCCCTGCAGACGCCGCCAGGGGGCCGTTTCCAAAGGGGGGGGGGAGGGGGGAGGCGGGCCACCGTCCCTCCAAAACGTTGTGTCAATCACGGCCACGGGGAGGGGGAGAGCAGGGAGAGCGGCAGGGCCACTCAGAATCAGGAGCTGTCCATGTCAGCAACCTCCTCCTCCTCCTCCTCTCCCCCTGTCGGCCCCTCCACCGTGCCATCTCTCCACTGTCTCCCCCTGCCGCCCACGAAGCACTTACACCTTGCCGCTCGGCGTCCCGAGACACTTCACCTTCGCCCTCGCATTCCCGTGCCTGATTCTCCTTGGGAGGTGTGTGTGTGTGTGTGTGTGTGTGTTCGGAGAGCGCTTTTCGCCCCCCCGCCCCCAGGAGGCCCCAGAAGCACCCAAGAGGCCCCAGGGAGCACTTTCCTATGTTGGGACATGTGTTCGGGGGGTTCTTTTTGGCTCCCCGCAGGCTTCGCCCCCATAGGCGTCGCCCCATCAATTCCTCACCTGATCTCCCTGCTTCGTCGCGCCAGTGGAAAACAACACACGAAGACACGCAAACTAGCCCGCACGATATGCCGGAGAGAGGGAGGATGCCGGGCGGACGGGGGCACAGCCCAGCTCGGCGCACGCGGGCCCAAAGCCGAGAACCCTGGCGAATGCGGGAGGAAAGACACTGCACTCCGATCGGCTGCCACCTTCTAGACACGTCCGGTGCATTATGGAATCCTGCCTGGGGCGTGAGCGGGGCACACAAGATCCAGACACGAGGTGAAGGGAGGCGCCAGCAGACGACGGACGCGCGAGCTGTGATAGCAGTCCCATACCCATCGCAGGAGGTGCCAGCCTCAGCCTGACCATCTTGCCAGACCAGATCTGGCTCAGATGATGGCGCGAAGGAGGGATACACACATCCAAGCGCGCTGGCAAACTGTATGCGCCTGCCTGGCAGGTGCTTACAGCAAACTGCATGGCTGAGGTGTGCAACACAGCCCCCGATTGGATCCGAGGAATATATCGGAGTCCATGGCTATTATTACGGATTCCAGTCATGCGAGTTACCGTTGAACGTCTCACTCCAATTGGTTGAACGCCACGCAAACAACAACATGTTCAACTGATTGTAGAACCGGGTCCACGAACAACAGTTGAACGTAAGGGAATGCAACCATGCCTGTGCGCACTTAGCTGCCTCAGGCTGAACTACCAGGGTGCGAGGGGTACCCGAGGACGCTCGGCAAGTCCTTGCCCCGCGCATCGGCGCTTCTCTGCCGAAGGCACTGGTCTCATCGCTGATGGACCATGTCTGCACCGCGGGAACCCAAGGCTAAATAATGCTTGCCAGCGTGGAATCCAAACAGTGGGTGATGGTTCTCCGTGGATAGTCAATCGTTGATGTGCAGACTGTGCATCGTGCAACCTATGGCAACATGCATGGTGCAATCTCTGCGCCGCAATTTATGTAGTGAAATAGATGTGCATTGCGAGATATGAAATGTACAATCGATGTTGTGCAACTCATTGGATGCAATCAAAATTGAGCGGCATATGTATAGCGTATAGTGTGACCTATATGTTTGCAGGTCACTGGGTGCAACTGACGCGGTGCAATATATGTGTGTCAATATCTGCATGACTCACACTATGCGGTGAGAGATACAGGGTGCAATACAAGCGGCGCAATCTATGGAAAACGCTGTAACTGTTGGATGCTCTGTGGTTCAATCTCGAAATCTAGCTAGTGTCATCACAGATGTTGCAGTGTGCTTGTGTGTGTTTGTGATGTATGTGTGTGTGTGTGTTGTGAATGTGCGTGTGTGTGTTTTGCAATGCGTCTGTTGCGTGGTGCAAGATCGTGCACGCTTTGTGGTGCGAGCGCCAGCCAACACAAGAGGCAGGCACTGGGCGGGCACCGGACGGGAGCCCAGCAACGCCACCGAGCGCACGGGGCGGGCACGCAGCGGGTACGAGGCGGGCACTGGGCAACAACTGGGAAACGCCAGCCAGCACACGGGGCGGGCACGCAGCGGGCACCGGGCGAAAACCTGGAGGCGGCAGCCAACTCACGGGGCGGGCACGGGGCGGGTACGGGTGGGCACCAGGCGAAAAACCTGGCAAGCCAGCCAATCGCTCAGGAGATAAAGAAGAGCACCATTCATGCAAGCCCTCTTTGGCAAGTAAGCGAGGCGACAGAAAGAATGGCCAATCGTCGCCGATACATACAATCCCGAGGTAGCATGTCCTTGAATCAGGAATGGCGCGGAGCTTGCGGTATAGACACGCTCGTTACCCTGGCTGCTCCAAGCCCCATCGTCGGTGGGTGTCCCACTTGCACGCCCCGCTGCCTAATGATGTAGACTGCGATGGCATCCTGGTCCCACCAGCCCGAAGTCCTGACGATAAATAACAGCAAAAACAACGGCACGATTTGCGAGCAGGAGACACTGATGAGAGGCTTCCTCCCGAAGCCCATCTTCCAGCCGACCACATCTGCTGTGGAAACACTGCGCGCAGAGTTCACGACGGATGACACACCGACACACTATTTGGAACAGCAGCACGCGGCCTTTGAGCGTCGTGCATGAGGCAGGGCGACGGAAGCAAAAACCCGCAGTGGCTCTGAGCTCGAGCTGAGGGGGAAAAGAATAGAGAAGTACCCAACTGCATAAACATAAACTTTCGGAGCTCCGCGCGGATGTCCGCGATGGACCCCCCCTCCCTGGCGCGCGGAGCGCGCCAGGGGCGGCACCGGGAGGCGCCGTCAGGGGGTCCCCAGCGCCGATCCGAGAAATCCGCGCGCAGCTCCGAAAGATTATGTTTATGTCATTTGTTTCTCGAGACTCGGGCAGCGGGGGCAACAGGGAGGAGGAGGACTGCGACTGGCGTCGGCCTTCGCCCCAGCTCTTTCCGTCCCCACTGCGGTCTGCCCGGACGGGGCAGGACTCACTCAACGGTGCTTTCCGTTCTCGTGGCGTGTTCGTTTCCCTCTATCGCCCTATCTTCGTCCCGCCTTTGCTGCAAACCGAAAGCAAAACGAAGCGAGCTTTCTTTTGTTCGCGGCGGTGACGGGGTGACGGACGCTATGGGAGGAGCAGAGGGGAGAGGGGGGGGGCCCGGGGAGGAGGCATAACGTAACACACTCCCCCTGGCAGTATGGGCCCGGCACCACAAACTGTGGTGCCGGACGCACTGCGGCAAAGCCGGAGACGCACTGCGGGGGAGGGAATATGAATTTACGGAGGGGGGCAGGAGAGGGAGGGGGAGGAGGGCATAACGCGCTGCGGCCCAGAAGGTAAAAAGCACACTCGAGAACGGTTCGCGTCGTGTCGACCCCGGCGTTGGTGCCTGACTCCGCGGGAATCGTTCAACCTTGAAAGATCGGCCGTCTTTCGAAACGTGAGATCGTTCAACATCGACCGATTCTAGGTCGCCGGAGACGCTCAACGTTGAAGGCCAGCGGCGAGGTCGCCGCCAATCGACACGACGCGAACCTACCGTACGCGAAATCGCCAAAACACACCGGTTATCGGGGGCGCGCAAACATGGATTAGCCATCCATGGATTTGGCGCGCGGTCGCCAAATCCATGGATCGGGGGAGGTGCCATCCCCAAAATGCGGCCAGTGCCGCCTCGTTCGGCGGCGGAAATCCGCGACTTCTCATGAAAACGGGACTCGTCGCTAATCCACGCCCCCTTAATCCACGTTTGCGATCGCCTGAGTTTAGGCCAAGCCCTGGGGCGGGGAGGTCCTGGGCAGCCGCCACACCCCTCCGAGGAGTTGCAGCCGCCGGCCGATGCGGAAGACCTCGTCGACGAAGCGCAAGCTGTGCCGCCCGCGCTTCAGGGCGAGGATCCCGCTGTTGAGCGGGACCCGGTGCCACACGACCTGCAAGAGGGGGGGGGAGGCCTCCACCTCCCCCCCTCTGCTCCTCCTACTACTGCTCCTGCTCCTCCTGCTACTGCTCCTCCTCCTCCTACTGCTCCTCCTACTGCTCCTACTGCTCCTACTACTGCTCCTCCTCCCCCCAAGGACTTCCTCCTACTGCTCCTCCTCCTCCTCCTCCGCGTCTTCCTCCTCCTCCTCCTCTTCCTCCTCCTCCTCTTCTTTCTCCCTTCCGAGCTGTTGATCTGTCTCGCATTGCGTGTGTCCAGACAGGCCAGAACCCAGAGGCCACGGCCTCATCCACCTGGGCTGAGCTTGTGAGGGCTGGACGCTTGTCCGCAGCGGAGGTGGTTTGTTCGTACGTTCGTTCCCTCCCTCCTCCAACCAGGCCGAGCGCCCCGCGCACTGCCGGCCAGTAGGCGAGGGGGGATAGGGAGGAGGGACTGTGACGCGTTCGGGTTTTACTGCGCCTCCGTGTGGGAGGGGGGTCCGCGTCGCCAGAGCTGCATTCGCCTGGAAATCTAAGTCAGAGTGCGCCCCGAGTTGGTGGGGGGTCGAGCTTGGGAGGGACGGGGACGGCAGAGAGGAAGGGCTGCTTCAGGGGATTCTACGAGTTCCTGGCGCTTCTGAATGTGAGGGGGAGGAAGATGAGGAAAGGGGAACTAGGAAGGGCAGGGGTAATGATAAGGGGTGGTGAGTGATGATGGGGATGATGATAACGACGATAAGGGAAAAGGGGCGATAACGCGGGGGGAAGAGGAGGCGGGAGAGGGGGGAGGCTGGGCAGAGGAGGCATGAGGAGGAAAAGGGAGAGAGCGAGAGAGAGCGAGAGCGAATGAGGGAGGCAGAGAGCGAGCGACAGAAATAGAGACAGCATCCTCCGAGAAATCAGGCTGCGAATACCTACGCGAATGGATCCACGAACGGGAAGTCCCGCGCAGACCTACGATACACTCGGACCCTTGACGACCAGGATGACGCAGCGGGGGGGGGGGGCGTCGGCAGAGAGGGCACAGCAAGTCGATGATCAAAATCCGATGTTAAAGCAATCCTGTCCCAGACATCCCAGGGCAAATTCCAAATATTCATGTCGGCCAGGATGTGTGATTCTGACATACTCCCCCAGGCCATGGTGAACACACTAGCAGAACAAACTCGCGGGGGCATCCGCGGGAGCTCCATCGCTGCTTTGTGGCCCCAGCGACGACCTCGTCTTCAGAAGCAAGCGCGAACTTGTCGTCACACGCAGTGCAGAGCAGCTGCCCTTGGATGGCCTCATAAAGCGGGTCCCTTGACGGGTCAGTGATGAATATGTCGTCGTCGACCTTAGTCTGGGAAACTGCATGGGGCCACGGTTTACGATCACAGCGCGGAACAACAAAAGACAAACCGTCATCAAGATAATTTGGCAGCCGGCTTGCCCACACACGAGCAACGATCGTGATCCCAACGCTCGATTCATTGGCAAAAGGCAGTGTGAGACACAGGCCCAGATCACAGCGTCGTACTTGTACTGCAACAGCGGGTGCCCAACAACCTCCCGCGCTGGCCCGCTCCAGAAAAAAAACGATGACCGACAACTCGGATCTGCACTTCCAATTAATCCTCGTCCCTCGCAACCCTCCCGTGCAAACTTCCCAGAAGCGAGGGATAGAAGGTGGGAATGGGGGGGGGACAGAGGCAGGAAAGGCGAGAGTAGGGGAAGGTGGATGGGGTGGAAAAGAGGAGGCGACGGATGGGGAACGGGAAATGTCTGAGGGATGCAGGACGTGCGAAAGAAGGGAGATGCAGGAGGGCGGAAGGATTGAGAAACAACCTCGACATCACTCCCATCATAATCAACCGTCCCATGTTCACCGTCACCATCACTATCATTGTCGCCATCATTAACAGCAGAGGCATCATCATAATCATCATAGCCAACATCGTCAACATAATCAGCATCATCGCAGTCATCGTCATCACCATTATCAGCGTCATCGTCGCCATCATCACTACATTCGCTATCGCCATGAATCTCAATCGCAATATTGGCCATTGTCATCGCCCCGGTTATTGGAGTCACGAGTGAACCGAGCCGATGTTCTCAACAAAAACACAACAACACATCCAACAACGTCTCGTGTAATTGGAAGCATGGCGCCACCTGACACCGTCATCCACATCATCACCGCCAGCACCATCTCACCATCACCATCACAAGCAAGACTAACTCAGCATCGACACCACCCTCACTATTCTCACCGTCACCATCACCAACCATATGTAATGACCTTGGGTCAAGCCACGCTCGATGTGTTGTGCGGTGCAGCAGCGGTGAGTGCGGTGCCAGCAGCTGGCGGAGAGATCCACGACATCAGAGCCTGCGTGCCCTTGGTGGCTTGCGTGATTCATGGCTTGCGCCATCCTTGGGTTGTGCCATCAATTGGTTGCGCCAAATGCGGCATCATGGGTTGCGCCATGGATTTGCAATTCATGCGTTGCACCGAAGGTTACATCATGAGTTGCGCCAAGGGTTGCGCCATTGGTTGAGCCGAAGCTTGCGCAATGGGTTGCGACGCCACCCACTGGGTGCGCCATGAGTTACGCCCTGGGTTGCGCTCTCGGCGGCCGGACAGGCAACGGCCGGCTATTGATTGGGCAGCAGGTTGAACACTTAGTGGCCGAATTCAAGTAGCCCGCATGCTCCAGCTCTTCCCCGAAGGTGTGTGGAGAGGAGCGGGAGTCTTATGGGGCCAACGTGGAGACTTCTCGGGGTCTCTTCGGGCCTGTCGGGACCGGTGTGGGGGGCCTGGGGCCAGGGAGTCCCGAGATGGCAAAGGATGCGGACGACGGCAAACAACGACGACGAACAGAAAGGACCCCGAGTTGGGAAAGGGGCGAAGCGGGGCAGGCAGGGGCCAGGGCCCCCAGGGGGCGGGGGGGACAGGACTCAAGGGACAAGGATGGAGGCTGCGGCCAGGCCTAACGACGGACGACGAACGTCGACCACGAGAGTAGAGGGCCCCGACCTCTGAAGCACAGCTGCGCAGGATGACAAAACGGTCTTCTAGTTGTTGCGCCATTGGCTGCGCGCTGAGCGGCCCAAAGCGAGACGGCCTGCTATTGGTTGTGCCAAGGAAGGCGCAAGCTACGGACAAAGTTGCCTTCACTAACAAAAGCGCGATTGATTGCACCATAGGTTGCGCACTCGGCCGCCCAAAACACGAGGCTCACATGCCCTACGAAGCAGGGCGAGGACCAGGAGAAGAAACTGGGTGAGGAGGAGGGGGTTGGTGGAGCTATCCCGGTACCTTTCTTTTTGATGTTGAAGAAAGGCGGGAGCATGCACAATGATGGTCGCCAACGGCGGGACAGCCCCCGCCCGGCCATGCGTGGACCACACCGTGGCGCCAACAGCCACCATTATGCTAAGATGCCCACTGCCGTGCGCAACAGTCACAATCAAAAATGCCTGGTGACGGCAGGGCGCCACCATTCCTCTAAGATACAGACCACCGTGCGAAAAAAAACACAGTTAGTGTCATTAGGCTGGGGCACGCAGAGTAGTAGCCGCCAACGGCGGGACAGACCCCGCCCGGCAACACGTGGACCACATCGTGGCGCCAACGACCACCGTTCTTCTCAGATGCCCACTGCCATGCCAAGTATTCAAACTATGTTGTAGATTGCGCCACGTGCTTTGCGCATGGCGAACCGTTGATGGCGATGCAAATCATGGTCACGATAACGACGAGGATGCCTTTGACGACGCCCGTGATCAGTACGCAGAGCCGTTGAAAATGGGGCGTGTGGCAGGGCAGAGACGCTCCCAAAGTGGCGCGACATTCAACACAACAAGTTTTATCCGATTGATACCTGCGCCCGTGATGGACGACGGGGTGCTGCCTAAGAAGATGTTGTTCATCAGTTCTCCTCTGGGACCCCTCTTGGGCCTGTCCTGGGGCTGTCTTTGGCCATCTAGGGAGCCTCCTAGGCCTTCTTGGACCCTTCATTTTTATCGTGGGGAGAGAACGCCGATTTGCAGATCAACGGGAAAGCTACTACAGAACATGACACAATAGAGAAATCGCTATACACAACGACCTTCAGCCCATCCCGTCGCCGTGCCTGGATGCCGCATTTGCTGTTCAACCAGTGAATCAGTTGCAATGTCCACCCGCAGGGTGTCCGTGAGGCGAAGGCTGGGAGGCCTGATCATCGAGCCCAACCCATGTGCCTCGCTCGTTCGCCGATTGGGAAAGCGATTCCGAATCTGGGGGAGGAGGAAAAAAGGGAATCATGGGGTAGAGAAGCAGGAATATACAAGGAGAAGAAAGAGTGAGTTGAGGAGGAGAAGATCCCGTCTAGCTGGCTATTCAAGCCGTGAATCAGTTGCACTGTCCACCAGCAGGGTGGCAACTGGAAAAAGCGTGCGCGACAGAAGTCTCATGTATGATCGCGCCTCACAAGCAACTGACGACCTCCTCCTCCACCTCTTCCTCCTCCTCATCCCTCTAGCGTCATTCGTCCGATCGCAGACTGTCGCGGAGCGCTGTAGGGGCGGCATCTCTTAATGCACAGCTTCTATACACTGTACATGTCAAGCACACGATTGAAACATATCCTGACAACGAGGCTACAGCTCAGCCGTCTACGGATGCGGTCTGTCAGCCCTCCCCAGTTATCGTATTCTCCATTCCCACATCGCTATCTTCTCCTCCTCCTCCTCCTCCTCATCCTCCTCCTCCTCCCCCAGCCAATCCTCCTCCTGCCTCTGAACATGATCAGCAGGCGCAATCACAAGTTGTACAATCACGAGAACGAGCATGACTACCGCACACGCGCAGCATATACAAACTACTCAGATGGGCAAAATGTGACGGCTGTGGGTCATGCGGTCAAGAGAACTGACTACCTTCAAGTTGATATCCTTGTCCTTGGCGTTTGTGACCAAGATGTCCTTTTGAGACCAGATGCGGATAGTCTCCTGCGCATCAGCATGGTGCCCCTTGTCAAGCACCCAGCGAACGCAAATTCAAACCCTTTGCTGAGTTTACGCCGTGGACACTCACTCGGAGCCTATCCTCGGTAGCTGGCACTGACTCGTCCTCCGTTGCCATCTTGGTGGCGATCCAACACTCCACGTTTGGCCAACACCGTTTATTATAGACACGCTTGTACAGCACAATAACCGTGCACCCGAGAAAGATGAAAAGCAATATGTTCTACAAGATCAGCCTGAACTCCTCCTCCTCCTCCTCCTCCTCGGTCCGCCCGCCGTCGTGTCATTGAGGTGCACATACCCAATCGATCCATACAAACTTGATCGAGGGGCTCTTGGCTACTGTGTCTCGCAACTCACACAATTTGCTGCAGTCCGGATCGGGCTGTTCTGGCTCTGGCCAGCGGTGGGACACTGCTGCTGTGTCAGCGACAAACCGCCCAGCAAACACATCCTTCAGGGTCATGGTCCGCTTCACCAACAGGCCAAGGTCACTCAACACTTGGTGGCGGAAGAGGGGCGTGTTGCGCGGCAGTTCCATGAGTGCTTCCACTGGAAGGAACCAAAAGTCCATGGTCTCCAACAACTCGGTGTTCTGGTCCGCCTGGTGCTCATCAATCTCCGCGTCCACCTGGTCCGACTGGTGCTCCGGCGCGCTGATCTCTTGGTTGGTCCGCCTGCTTTGACACGCTGATCTCAATCTGCGCGTCGCGCGCTGGTCCCCTGCCACAGCCGGGACATCCGTGCATCATCAGACAGCCCAAGCCCAGCGCGACGCAGGCCAGGAGGACGATCACGACACCAGCGAAGACTGCAAGCAATGCCTTGGAGTCTTGCTGCTCCTCCGCCGATGGCGCATTGCTCGATTAACTACCGCGCAAATTGGTGATCCTGGAGCCTGCTGGGTATCCGTAGTCCAGTGGTGCGTCGAGCACAATGGATCCCGAACGCGCGATGTCACATGTCTCCGAATTGCCGCCACCAGTAATCAGGATGGCGTGCCCTACAGAAAAGCCCTTCTCATACTCCACCTCCAACTCCTGTGATCCTGTCATCACTGGACTCACCAATTGCAGTCGTTGCGGTTAGCACCATTTCAGTGGTGGCTGTGGAGCTTGACGTTGAGAAGCTCGTGCCTGTCTCGGTGGTCCTCGTTGCCGTCGTGACGATCGTCGTGGTAGTCGTCTTGGTGGTGCTGCTGCTGTGCGAGGCGGGACTCGTGCCCGTCTCGGTGGTTTTGTGGCTGTCTGGGTGGCAGTGGTGGAGATTTGGGTGCTTGTTTTGGGCGCCGGCGGCGTGGGTACTGCAGTACACTGGAACACCAGTGACGGTCTGGTGCTCTCGTTGAGGGCTTCGCGGAGCTCAAATCCAGCGGACCCCGCGTACATCCTTTCTGCAACCAGCGCAAGCGAGATGGTGGTCTTACCAGCGAGTTTCGCCTGTGGCATGCGAACGCCTGCCTCCAGTGGGCCTGAATATAGTCCTGATAATCGCAAACCTGCCCCTGGTAGCTGGGACGGTTGGACCAAATAGTTGCGCTTTCCGACCACTCG